GCTGGGCTCTGTGTCCGGCTGCCCCAAAGGAAGATATGTTCCTGCTCTCTAATTGGGACCCCTCCCTGATTTACAATCACCTGTGAATTCCCCCTAGAGCGCACTGGCCTGGCCCCACTCCCCAGCTCAAGGGTGCTGGGAGCCAGGACTCCTGGGTTCTCTCCCTGGCTCTGAGAGGGAAGAGGGGGCTGGTGGTTAGAGCGGGGGGGGCTGGGAGCCAGGACTCCTGGGTTCTCTCCTGGCTCAGGGAGGGGAGTGGGGGCCAGTGGTTAGAGCAGGGTGGGGTGCTGGGAACCAGGACTCCTGGGTTCTCTCCTGGCTTAGGGAGGGGAGTGGGGGCTGGTGGTTAGAGTGGGCTGGGCTGGGAGCCAGGACACAACTTCCCTTCTTGTCCCAAAGGTGGGAGGGTGTCACCCAGCTGCTGTTCCCCAGAGGTGGCTGCAGAGCTGGTCAGACAGGTGTGGGGTCGTTCTCATTCCTGAGCGATGGGGCCATTGCCTGGGTGATGGGAACAGATCATCCATGCAGTGCCCCAGGTCTCCAAACACAGGGGCAGGAGCCAGGACTCCTGGGTTCACTCCCCGGCTCTGGGAAAGGAGTGGGGGCTAGCGGGTTAGAGCAGGGGGGGGCTGGGAGCCAGAACTCCTGGGTTCTCTCCCTGGCTAGTTGGGGAGGGGCTCTGGGTGTGTCAGGAATGGACAATCTCTTCACAAAGATTCAATCCGCTCGTCTGGGGCAGTTGTTACCTGGGCTCCATCTGTGTCCTCAGTCCCTGGACTGGGGCGGTCAGATTCCTGCAGGACGATCGGCCAGGCCAGAGCCCTGGCTCCAGACTGGAAACTCCCCCCACCCTAGTTCTGCTGGTGCCCCTCACTCCAGACCCACAGCCTCCTGCTAGCCCAGTCCTGCGGACTGTCCCCAGCTCTGGGAGGAGAGTAGCGTCTAGTGGTTAGAGCAGGGGCAGGGCTGGGAGCCAGGACTCCTGGGTTCTATCCCCTGGAGCTGGGAAGGGTGTGGGGTCTAGTGGTTAGAGCAGGGGCAGGGCTGGGAGCCAGGACTCCTGGGTTCTCTCCCTGCCTCTCCCTACTGACAGGCCCTGTCCCCTCCTCCAGGAGACCCCGAGCACGGAGGAGATGGAGCAGTTTGCCAAGGAGCTGAAGCACAAGCGGATCACGCTGGGGTTCACGCAGGCTGACGTGGGGCTGGCCCTGGGCGTGCTGTACGGTGGGTGTCATTGCGGGGGGAGGGGGGGCACCAGGACGCCGGGGTCCATTCCTGGATGGGCCGGGGGGACGCCAGGGTGCTGTTTCTCCTGAGGTGGGGGGGGTTCACCAGGACGCCGGGGTTCCTTCTGAGACGTGAGGGTGTCCCTAGACACCTGAGTTCATTTCCAAAGTGGTGTGAGGGAGGGTCCCGGATGCCAGGGTCTGTTCACAGGGCAGGGGGGTGTCCCTGGACACCGGGGCCCATTTCCAAGGGGGTGGGGGGGAGGGGCCCAGATGCCGGGCTCCGTTCACAGGATGGGGGATGTCCCTGGACACCTGGGTCCATTTCCAAGGGGTTGTGAGGGAGGGGCCCGGACGCCGGGTCCGTTCGGAGGGCAGGGGCTCCCCCCCGCAGTGAGATGGCTGGGGGGGGCTGCCCCCTGCCCTGAGCCCTGAACCCCCCCTCGCACCCCGCAGGGAAGATGTTCAGCCAGACGACCATCTGCCGCTTCGAGGCCCTGCAGCTCAGCTTCAAGAACATGTGCAAGCTGAAGCCGCTGCTTCAGCGCTGGCTGGACGAGGCCGACGGCAACGCCAACCTGCAGGAGGTGGGTGGGATTTTGGGGGGGCACCTGTGGGGCGAGAGTGGGGGGCTGGGCCCAAAGGGTGATTGGCATGTTGGGGACCGGGTGAGGCGACGGCCTGCTGTGTGTTTGGGGGGGAGGTTGTGGGGGGTTGGGGTGACTGTGGGGGGATGGTGCCCTGCTCTGGGGGGGCTGGGGTGAGTGGGTTGGTGTGATGGGGGGCAACGGCCTGCTGGGGGGCTGCTGGTGTGACTTGGGGAGGGAAACGGGGGGCGCTGGGTTGACTCTGGGAGGGACTAGGGCTGGGTGGGATACTTGGGCGACTCAGGGGAGTCCTGGGGGTGCTGTGGTGACTCTATGGGGGAAATGGAGGAGCCAGGGACAGGCGCAGGTGGGGTGAGTGTGGGGGTTGACGTGCCAAGGGGGCAATGGCCTTCTGTGGTGACTCTGTGGGGGGATGGGGTCAGTCGAGGTGCTGGGGTGACTCTGCGGGGGGACGGGGGATGGGGTAAGTCT